ATCACCGTCGGCCTTACGGTTTTAAAGTGTGCCTACTAGGGAGAGATTTTCACACTCTTATAAGAAATGCTTCGCTCCCCTCTCCAATCGATGTGGGATCTCACGATGCATGGTAAGGAAGCTAGGTTGATTCTCAATTGGTGGTTCTTAAGTTGGAGATTGTCTTGTCTTCAAGCTTCGAGTCAAGATTGTCACAACAAGAAGAGTATTTTAGTAATTTTTAAGTGATTAAGGCTTATGGGTGGGATCTGCAGTATTATTCTTTTTTATTGGAAACATGGCAGTACATTAGAACAATAAATATACACAAGAGAGGGGAAAATACTAGACCCCAAAGTTAAAAGAAGATTACAGAAAAGCTCTCCAATTAGCCAAGAAATCAGAAAATAAGTAGTTACAAGAGATTGTTAAGCCTACATCCATAAAAGAAGAGAAATTTTGGTCTTCTCCCACAAATATTCATTGGTTTCTTACAATCCAAGAGCACCATAGAAAGTTTCAAATAAAGTTGAGCCAAATAACATCGGCCTTGTTTCTGAAGGGGTGATTAATAAGAAGAGAAAAGGCTGCTGATTGAAAAGCAAGTGTAGAAAGTTAGAAAGCTCTAAAGAATTTCCGATGATTTGAGCACATCCACGAGAGTCAAGCTTAACACCATTACAAAAAGAACCAAAATGAGCACGAGTAGAAAAGTTATTATCAACAAGCGATGTGCTTATTAATAACAATTGGAAGGCTCCACTGCCCCTAGATTGATTTGTTCCACCTTTTGTTTGATTGTATGCATAGTTTCTTAGTTAAGAAGAGGAAAAAAACGAAGTGCAGAAAGGTTTTGTAGGCTTCAGTTAGAAGATAATGCTATTCAGCTTCAAAGACATGGTAATCCTCTCTACTAGCTTCACTGTAGTTTGCGATGGCATACGCTATGATGCTGTAGCCTCGGGTCGGAGGTGTCTCAATATTTTCTGCAGTTCAGTTAGAAGATGTTGTTATGGAAACTGGAGATTGTTGTTATTCATTGGTGAAGGAGAGAAGGATTAGCGATTAGCTTTTGCAAGTTTCCTTTTTAAAATGTGGCAAGAGTATGATGGTTAAGCTTTGTGCGACACTTTGTGGGTGGTAGGGGATGTCCTTTTTCTGTTTTGTTTGGTTTGTATTGATCTCAATATGTCTGTTGGATGGTTTTACTTTCTGAGATCCCACATCGATTGGAGAAGGGAACGAAACATTCCTTACAAGGGTGTAGAAACCTTTCCCTAGTAGACGCATTTTAAAAACCGTGAGGCTAACGGCGATACGTAATAGGCCAAAGTGGACAATATTTGCTAGTGGTGGGCTTGGGCTGTTACAAATGGTATTAGAGCCAAACAACAGGCGGTGTGCCAACGAGGACCTTGGGCCCCAAGGGGAGTGGATTGTGAGATCTCACATCGGTCGGAGAGGAGAACGAAACATTCCTTACAAGGGTGTGGAAACCTCTCCCTAGTAGATGCGTTTAAAACCCGTGAGGCTGACAGCAATGTTACATAGTTTTTCTTGTAAGTTTTCGGCTCTAGATTGGTTTTTTATTTGCTTCTTTTGGGAACCTTGTACAACTTTCTTCAGAGAAAATTCTGTTTCCTTGGAAGAAAACAAAAGTTACAGAAAAAGGGCTCCAAATTACAGTTGTGTTCTTCTTTATACAGCCAAGTTACCACCTGGCCTTGTTGCTTCCCCATCACATGTAACATTCTAAAAGCCCTTTACTAGTATAACAGTCAAAAGCTTAGCATTTTCTCCCAATGGAAATAACAATTTAACCCAAACAACAAAACAAAAGCGTTCAATTTCCTTAGAAGATGAAACCATTAATTGACTAGAACCAACCAACCAATCAATCAATCAATCAATAAAACCCCTTCGGAGTTCAGAATTACACCAGAAATTCAGTACTTCGGACATAACAAATGAAGAAAGTAACAAAAACCAAAAATGTACATTAACATTCTGCGATCCAGAGAATAAAAAGGTAGCAATTAAATCACAATACGCTTCACAATAGACAAACAATCCAACCAGAATGAAATCTTTGAACTCAAAATCAAAAGACGAAGAAAGTAAACACAAGAAAGCCGTATAACTGAGAAGAAGGACTTACCAGAAACTAAGAGGTCGGAGGTGGGCTCCTTATTGATCGGAGCTGAAATAGAACTTCTGGAAGAGAAACTCCTGAGTCCCCGAAGAGCAACCGAGGCCGCGGATTTCATAGCCATGATTCAAGGTATTTGAGTTTCTTCATATAATCAAAACGAAATGTAAGTTTACAGAAATCACAGCCATGAAATCGAAAGCATAAGAATCTACACTTGCAATGAAGAAATGAAAGGGAAAGAAAATTAGAGAATAATACCTCAAAGAGATGAGATTGCGAAGAAAGCAAAGAAAAATACGACGGCCGGAGAGGGTTTTTGGGGCTTTCGGTTGCCGCTGCTCGCAGATCCAGAGACGAGGACGAGGAAGAAGTAATGGACTGAGTGAATGTTAGACCGGTTTTCTCTGGGTTTTTTACCAAACAGAAAACCGATCCGATTTTTTTTTCAAATACTAAAACAAAACCGGTTTTTTTTTCAATAATTAATACATTTATTTGATATAAATTGAATTTTATGTTGGTGAATTTTAAAAATTATGAAATAAGCCTAAAACATAATTTAAATTTTTTCGGACTTATTTGGAAGGTTAAATTAAAATTCATATATTTATTAAAACTAATAAAAAATTTATTAAAGTATAAAAAATTAATACATTATTTATAAATTAGAATATAAACAAATTTTATAAATTTATTAGCGTGAATCTTTTATAATTACTTTTAGATATATATTATACCTTAATTTAAATTTTTTTAATTAGGAAAATTTAACATAGTGAATGGGGGAATATCTCAAAAGAGAGTTTTTTTTTTTTAAAAAAAATATAAAATAATTTATTTTAATATATTAGATATTAAAATCATTAATATTATATATTATATTTAAATAGCATAAAATATAAACAATACAATTGTCATTCTAATTTCAATTTTTTTTTTTATTTGTCTATGATACAAGAATTATTTTAATTCTTTTAAATATTTGTTTTAACGCTTCAAATCAATTTTTTTTACTTTATAATTAATATATTAAATATTAATTTTGAATTTTTGAATTTTTTCTTTCAATTAAATTATCCCTTTTAAGTGTTACTCACACCTTATAAATATAATGATGCAAAATTAATTAAAGTATTAATCTAATTAGAATTAAGAATTAAGGTCTCGTGTCCAAGAATCAATACTTAAAAAATTTCACACTTATTGTCAAATCCGGTGCAACAGCTAAAAACTGTTTTCTTATTTTAGCCACTCTGGTTCAATCATTTCTTTGTGATTTCTCCTCCTTCAGTTGTGTTATCATCCGTTTTCATATTTTTCATCTTCAAAAAAATTTCAATCTCATTCATGATCTTCCTCGAAAGCTACACTACAACTTACTATAATTTTATTTGTAGTTGGATCAAACATTCTATAACATTTGGATTCGCGGTCCAACTACAAATAAAACAGAGGTCACACTTTTATCTTCAAGTTTGCTTCTCTTGGCATTTGGAATATGAACATGTTCCACACATCCAAAAACTTTGAAATACTTTTCTGACTACTCGAATCTTGTAAAATTGGATCGCATAGATTTACATGAACAAGACTCAATTTTTTAGTTGCTCTCCATTTACCCATTTTTGGAAATGGAGTCCGATGTCGTTTGCTTTTTGTACATATCTCACTGGTGGTGCTTGGAGCTATAATTTGCAGTAGACCTTTCACCATGTTTTTTGTGTTTTAAGGTGCATAAATCTTTGTAGCCGAGATGACCATAACGATAGTGTCAAAGTGTTTATCGATCCATATTTGAAACTTGGAGGCATCTTCCATCGTTTTTTATAGCAGATGGTTGAGCAAGCAAAATGAACAGTCGGTTTGGACTTAGTTGACTCTGCCATTTTTTCTTTTTGTGGATGATAAATGTTTCATATACCATCTTTGAACAAACATTGTTACTCTTTTTTCTTGTAGTTGTCCAAGAGATTATTTTTTAGTTTACTAATTGTAACCTTCATATAGAGTTAATTTCACTGCACCCTTCCCAGTCACCTTTTTGTTTCATGTCTTTCCACATGAGTCATTACATTTCAAACACAACCCAACCCACTTGCCAATCCATTGATTCTGCGCACCACATGCTCACGACCCAATTATAATAGCCAACCCAATCCAACTTCTACAACCTAGCTAAGTGGCCTAACACCAGCGATTCCGCGTCAGTTCTTACCAACACCAGAACTTGAGTCTGGCGCCTTAGACCACTCGGGCACTCTGACTTCTTATTAATAGATCCCACATTGGTTGGAGAGGGGAATAAATCATTCCTTATAAGGGTGTGGAAACCTCTCTCTAATAGACTCGTTTTAAAACTGTGAGGTTGATGACGATCCATAATAGGCCAAAATGGAAGTATCTGGTAGCAGTTGGAGAGGGTAAGGAAGCATTTCTTTTAAGGGTGTGGAAAAATCTTCATAGTAGATGCATCTTAAAGCCTGAGGCTGATAGTGATACGTAATGCGCCAAAGTGGACAATATTTGTTAGCGGTGGGCTTGAGATGTTACAAATGGTATTAGAGCTAGTCACCAGGCAGTGTGCTAACGAAGACACTGGCCCCCAAGGAGGTGGAAGTCACCGGGCAGTGTGTTAGCGAAGACACTGGCCCCCAAGGAGGTGGATTGTGAGATTCCAGATCAGTTGGAGAGAAGATGAAACATTTTTTATAAGGGTGTGGAAACCTCTCCCTAGTAGACTGCCAGCGAGAACGCTGGAAAACCTCTCCATAGTAGAAGCGTTTTAAAACCGTGGAGTTAACGGCGATACGTAACGAGCAAAAGCAGACAACATCTACTATTGGTGGGCTCGAATAATTTTAAACAATTGGCTAGAATAGCTCAATTGGTTAGAGTGTGTGGCCCTTAATCACAAGGTTGGAGGTTTGAACCCTCCTTTTAACGGCGATAATCAAGTGTTCGCAACGCAAGCATATTGTCTTACATTTTCTATTGAATCATAACCCTTGAATTGTGTATAATTTTTAGTTTTTTTTAGGGTAGCTTCGACCAATTGAAATAAGATGTAAATACAAATTTGAGCCCAATACCTATATTTATTTATGAGTGTTAAAGCTAAATAGAAACTAATTTTAGGGTTGGGCTAGAAGGTTTTTTGCTCAATTTAGTCAAATAATAAGCTCGAAGTGCAACTTCAACTATATAACTAGCATCCCGATCATATTTTAACTCTGACGTTGTCTTCTCCTTGATGATGTTGAATGTCACGTTCTTCGATAGCGTCAATCAAATCAACCTAAGACTTGTCGATCCTTGAGCTTCCATTGTGTCTTGGTGATGGTATCCGGCTTTACCCCCAACATGGGTTCGTGAAGATCAGATATTCTTCAATCTCCATCTTCCATCAACCGATCCATCGAATTTCTCAATTTCAATCTTTGAACTTTCCATCTTCACAGATCATGGTGAATTTCGCCTAACTCTTATACCAATTGTTAGGATCGCACAACAACGCACACACTTGATCTAGATGAACTCGAAGAACAGGAAAGAGAAAATGCCTTGAGCTTCCATTGCTTTGTGTTCATAATATCATGCTTTTCCCCCCAACAAGGGTTCGTAAAGATCTTTCTGGTAAAGATAATCTTCAACCTCAATCTTCCATAAACCGAAATCGGATCCATCGAACTTCTCAATTCCAGTCTTTAAACTTTCCATCTTCACAGATCGTGGTGAATTTCGCCTAGCTTTGCTACCAGTTATTCTTTGATACCAGTTGTTAGGATCGCACAACAACGCACACACTCGATCTAGATGAACAGAAAGAATAAGAAAAAGAAAATGCAAGGAGAACTCTCGCTAAAAAATTTGCATTGATAACTTCAAGTATTTCTAGTAGGATAGAATGAAAAAAAATACATTTTCAAGGCTAAGGTATATATATATATATAGTTTTACCACATATAACTATCTATTATATATAACTATTTACCATGTATAGCTTTACGTGATATAGCTCTATGTAGAAAACTATTTACTATTTATGACAATTTACTTTATATGTCATTTAACATATGTAACTTTTCGATGTAATATCGTTGACTAAACTATAAATAACCAGCCGACTCCATAAACTAATAATCTAAAACCACAAACTTGTTGGGTTTTATGTCCTAAAACTCATAGTTTGTAAACAAAAACATATTTTGTTTTCAATAAAGTTATTATTGATGTTTATTCAGTAAAGACCGTTATTGAATAAAGTGAATGTTACGATCATTAATCTAAATCCAATAAACTAAGAACACTCTGGCTATAATATGATTACTTGAACTATATGTAGAGACATAAGAGTGGATCAAGGTCAAGTATATAGTCAAAATAATCTATAGTACAGGGATAAGGTTGAGTACCTTATTCTGGGGACACTATGGATGCAACCCACTTTTGTATATGATATAAACAATGTGATCATTAAATTGTACATGTGGAGACATGTGAGTGGGGGAGTCCTATGCAATGAGTATTGCATAAGATCGAACCATGTAGAAAATCACTCTCACTTTATAATGTCGTTTACTATTGAGACTGATTTTTTTCATTCGATGACCTAGGTAACTCGATCTTAATCTTGAGCTAACTATGAACTCTTGTTTATTCAGAATTATCCTTAGATTTTCATGGGTGAGAGTGACCCGAGTTTGCCAACTCAATAAGCTCCAATTTCAGGGGTAAGACTGAGTGAATAGCTGGAGACATAAAGTGTAAGATGGAATTCACTCCTACTCGCTTTTAGGGATAGTAGAGAGGTTGTTCCCTTAAGTACTGACTCCAAGTCTTGAACAAGGGGCCCTACTCTCTCATTGGCCCGAGAGGGATTCGGTTTGGTGGTTGGATCACAAACCAATTGTTCATTAGAGGATTAGTGGGACTCAAGGAACAAGAAGTAACTTTAAGGGTAAAACGGTAAATTGACCCAGCTCTAGTTACGAACAACCTGTGAATGATCGACTTACTAATCATGGTTATATCAAATGAACAGAAATATATCTATAGTAAGGAGAATGCAACTACTAGGCTATAGTGGAGTGTCCTAGTAGTTAACGAATATTGATTAACAAGGTTAATGAGTTTAGACGGTTAATCTCGGATCGTTGGAGCCCATGATCTATAGGTCCATTAGGTCCCCTGCTAGCTCATATCAGACTAAACCACAATACGATATATTTAACCGCATTTTGTTTTAATTATGAATTAAACAAAAAGAGAGAATTGAAGATATTTAAATAAGATTTAAATATTTTAATTATGAATAGGGATTCATAATCATTATGTGCCGGAATTGATTTGGATTGACATTTTGTTTAATGTTAAATATTAATTAAATTGTTTAATTAATCATTTAATATTATTTTGATTTGAAATTAATTATTTAAATTAATTGTTGAATTAAAATAATGAAAGTCAAAATGTTGACTTCGCCTAATGGAAAAATCCATGTTTGAGTTAATGGAATATTGAGTGTCAATATATGGTTTAACCAAAGTTGCATGTTTGCCACATCATCCCACAAATTTGAGTGTTAAAATTTGGTTTAACCAAACATGCATGTTTGCCAAATAAACCCCACAAATTTGAGTGGAATTTTGAGTGTCAAAATTAACTCAATTTGGTTAGCTCAAACTTGCATGCTTGCCACATAATCCCACAAATTTGAGTGTCAAATTTTGGTAATCTCAAATTTGCATGAACATGTAAATATGACTCTATAAATAGAGTGATCAAGGTATATGGAAAGTGGGGTTGAAAAACTTTGAGAAAATCTCTCAAAACTCTCTCTCTCTTTACCTATACTAAATTTCTATAAAGTTTAGTCACTCACCGGATTCCACAATCTCGTTCTAAGGCCGGAGAATAGTAGGTAAGATACTAATGGTGGTTCGAAACTGGTTCGTGAGAAAAAAGAAATTTGAACTACAAAAGGTTAGTTTTCAAACTCATTGAGTTTTAATGCTTTTGAACACGCTAGCTAATTTACTATAATTAATGTACTTAGAATGCCTATGATCCAAATTGCTTTTGCACGTGTTATAGTAACACCATCAGAACTTGCACCTACAATGACCAAAGTCGACGTTGAAATGCTTGATTCACGACACGAAAAAGACCACCGATGATCCCACATACACGAGAGGTAAGCTTTATACGCTTGAATAACGCCGTGTGTCGTTGGAATCCAGATTCAATTTAGGTTTTAAGAAGCTCATAGATGTGTCATCTTAGGCATCTACAAGTCACGAGTCTTCGTGGAAGAGAAGCAGAGAGTCCAACAAAGAGTTAGAGGAAGAAAACGATGAGAAAGAACATCAGAAATAGCTGCAGAGAGGAGAGAGATGAGAAACAAAAAATCGCACCGAGTCGGGCGAAGAAGACAAATCCGTCGAATCTAGATCTGAATCGGGATCTGGGTCAGACTCAAACCCACAGTCCATTGCCAATCCATTGGTTTGGCCCAACACACACTCACAACCCAATTATAATACCCAACCCAACGTTTGCAGCCTAGCTCAACAGCCCAGCACCCACGATCCCACGTCTGCCTATCCAACCCACAACGCCTGCAGCCCAAAACCTGATAGTCCATGGTGAAGACGAATTACCTAAGACCTGTTAGGTTATGGAGTCTGCTCTCTTATTTATAACTTGGTCAACTGTTATATTCGGTAAAGCTATATTTGGTAAAACTATATATAGTAAAGCTATATATAGTAAAGTTATATCCGGTAAAGCTATATATGGTAAATAACTATATATAGTAGATGATTAAATATGGTAAAACTATATATAGTAAAATGAACCATATATATATCCCGGCATGTAGAGCTATGAACATGTACTTTTTGTATTCCCTGTAATTCTCTCTTACTGTACATACGTGAAGTTATCAATAAAAAAAAAAAAAAAAATTCTTTTAGCCAGAGTTCTCCTTGCACTTTTCTCTATCATGTTCTTTGTGTTCATTTAGATCGAGCGTGTGCGTTAGTTGTGCGACCCTAACAACTGGTATCAGAGCTAGGCAAAATTCACCACGATCTGTGAAGATGGAAAGTTCAAAGATTGAAATTGAGAAGTTTGATGGATCCGATTTCGGTTTCTGGAAGATGCAGATTGAAGATTATTTGTACCAGAAAGATCTTCATGAACCTCTGTTGGGGGTGAAGCCGGATACCATGAACACGGAGCAGTGAAAGCTCAAGGATCGACAAGCCTTGGGGCTGATCCGGTTGACGCTATCCAAAAACGTGGCGTTTAACATTATCAAGGAGAAGACAACGTCATATCTATTGAAGGCGCTGTCAAATATGTATGAAAAACCGTCGGCTATGAACAAGATGTATTTGATGTGAAAATTGTTCAATCTACAGATGTCTGAAGGTGGATCTGTTGCTGATCATATAAATGAATTCAATATGATCATAAATCAACTAAGTTCGGTGGAAATTAATTTCGAAGATGAAATTAAAGCATTAATTTTGATGTCATCCTTACTCGAGTCATGAGATACTGTTGTTGCCGCAATCAGCAGTTCCCGAGGATCTGATAAACTGAAGTTTGATGAAATTCGAGATGTAGTTCTCAGCCAAAGTATTCGCAAACGAGAAACTGGAGATTCATCAGGAAATGCTCTCAATGTTGATCGAAGGGGAAGAAGTAAATCAAAGAGCTCAAATAAACATGGGCAATCAAAATCAAAGAACCGGGGAAAATCTCTTAACAAACCCAACATAACGTGTTGGAGCTGTGGGGGAAAAGGACACTTTCGGACAGATTGTACAAAACTAAAGAAGAAGCAGAATCATAAATCTGAAGATGATGATGATTCTATATATACAACAGAGACGTTTTAATCCTTAGTGTGGACAACCCAGCTGAATCCTAGATTT